GCTACCATTACTGTGATGAAAAAGCATGACCAAAAGTAGCTTTGAAGAAACGGGTTTATATTACTGATAGTTACTGAGGTTAAGTCAGTGCAGGAACTTAAGCAGGGCAGGGGCAGGAGCAGGAGGCAGGAGCTGATGCAGAGGCCATGGAGGGATGCTGTTTACTCACTTGCTCACTGTGACTTGCTCAGCTTGCTTCTTATAGAACCCAGGACCTCCAGGCCAAGGGTGACACCACCCACAATGAACTGGGCCTTACATTACTAATTAGGAAAATGTCCTACAGGCTAGCCTACAACCTGATTTTATGGAAGCAGTTTCTCAATGGATGTTCTCAGATCCATCTCTCAGACGTCTCTAGCTGGTATCAAGTTGGTATAAAATAAAACTCACTAGCACAATTACTGAAATATGATTCTCAACATCGTTTCTTCTGAAAAAAATCATTGAAAGCTCTGTACAGAAATTTGATTGAATCCTGCTTGCTTTTGCTTATGAAAAACATAAACGCGTTGCTGTTGGGACATGGTCCAGGAATGGACTCAGGTAAGGAGAAGTCTGAGTGATTGAGGGAACACTCCAAGAGAACAGGACAAGAGTCTTGCGACTCAGTTCCTTCCAAACATGGAAATGTTGTTGGAATGCATTCTTTCTCCTCCAGGCACAACAGAAATGAGTGGGCTTATTTCAGATTACTTATGAATACTTACTATTGGTAATCAATAATATTCAAGGTGTCCTCTGTGTGCGTCTCTGGAAGAGCATGTTTGTCATGCTCGGCTTGACTTTGTTATTGTGTACAGCTAAAGCCTGTGAACTTCACTCCTGTGAACTGTCTCAACCCTCACAGTACAGATGGCTGCTGCCCTGGACAAAGCCGGCTGCTGCACGAGGCTTTAGTCCACCTCATTTATTGGCTCCATTCTCTCAGCTCCTACCACATCTGGAGCAGGGACACGTTGCTCCTTGTTAAACCAATAATCATGAATTCTGCTAAAATAAACAACTTAACTATGAAGCATCAGCTCTTTCATTGCAGTTGTGACTGTGTAGACAATCTCACACAACAGGAAAACAAGACACCAAAGGGCAAATAGCAAATGTGCTGCTTAAGACATTCCATGCAAAGTGTAGAAAAGGATAGGAGATAAAAGAAAGAGCAATGTGTGCTGAGGTTCTAAGCAACCATTTTTCAAAGGAGTTAGTCTGCTTGCTGGCCTTAAAATTCCATCTCATACATACATACTTGCATATGTACATATATACATACACATGACTGTATAAAAGGCTGGTATCTTTTCATACATGGAAATTTTCAGCTACTTTTGGAATCGTACTTTCAGACTGTTCTGAACATCTCTAATCTTTGCTATCATTGTTGGAGTCCTGCAGTAAGATGACGTGAAATGAACATTCGAGTGAGCTCCTCCAATACTCACACATCAGAACTTAAAGTAGAGCCGTTTATCCATCTCCAGTGCTTGTCTGGCAAGGTGTAATTTAGTCCAATCCAAAATAAATTGCCTTTTTCCTTTATCGAGTCCTTTATGAATCTCTACAATCAAAGCAGAGGAGAGGACTTAACCTGAGCCTGTGTGCTGTGACTCATATTCCACAGCTGCTCGACACCTAGGTCAAGTGTCACCTGTGTCCGTCCTGAGTCCTCAGCACAGTTCATTCTTCCTACCTTGAAAAATCTGTGCCCAGCATTTATGATCCTAGGACACTCACCTTACATATGCAGTTATTGGCTCACATGTCCCTCTAGTCTCTCAGACTATAAGCTTCCAAATGTAAAGTCTCCACTTCCCTTACATGGAAGATCTGTTAAATCAGGAGACATTGATATAGCTTCCAGAACATGCTTACACCTCTATTTTATAGAACAACTTACCAGTTCTTCTTGGTCTTGAATGAGCAGCAAAGTGGCTCCTTTTCTAGTGCAGTTAGACAGACCTTCCTTCCATACACCGTTCTCTTGAGAAAACTGTATGCATTTCTCTCTGTGTGGCAGCCAGTCTTTGGGGCACTTTAGCTGGACTGGACTCTCTGAAGTGAGGAGCAGACATGGTGAATTTCACCCTGTCCCTGCTGCACCACAGCCAGTTACACACAGTAGTTGCTTTGCTAACACACACTTTTACACACACAGTAACATGTGCTGGGACAAGATCACTGTTAATGACACATCAAAGAAATATAAATGACACAGAATTTATTTTATTTTTGTTTCTTTTAATTAACTTCAGACAAGGTTAACTATATGAAATTTTGATTAAAACAACCAAATATTCATTGTAGTGGTTTGAATAAGAATGGTCCCTGTAGGCTGATATATTTGAATGCTTAGTTATCAGGGAGTGGTACCACTTTAGGAGGCGTGGCCTTGTTGGAGGAAGTGTGTCATGGGGGTGGGCTTTGAGGTTTCAAAAGCCCAAACCAGGCCCAGTATCCTTCTCATCTTGCTGCCTGCAGATCCAGATATAGAAGTGTCAGCAACTTCACCAGCATCAGTCTGCCTGCATGCTGCCGTGCTCCTCACTGTGATGACAATGGACTAAACCTCTGAAACTGTAAGCAAGCGCCAGGTAAATGCTTTCTTTTATAAGAATTGTCATGGTCATGGTGTCTCTGCACAGCATTAGAACACTGACTCCAAAACATTCCTCTAAAGCAAAAAACAAAAAACAAAAAAAAAACAACAAAAAAACAAAACTGTTTCTCTCTCTCTCTCAATTTCTGTGTATGGTTTACTTGCATGTGTGTTCAAGCACATGTGCCTATGCACGTGCGGAGGCCAGAGAAGGATGTAAGGTCTCTGCCTCTGTCCCTCTCCACCTATTCTTTAGAAGCAGAGTCTCTTATTGAATGTGAAACTAATGCTGATTTCTCCAAAACTGGAAGCAGGCAGACCTCAGTGACTGTCCTGGGATGTTCATTACGTGGATGCTGAAGCTGTAATATCAGTCTTCACGTTTGCACACAAACACTCTTAAGCACTGAGCTGTCTCTGAAGCTCCATATTTTACTTTTTAAGTTGTTGTTCGTCTGTAGTAACCAACTGTGCTATCAGGCTGAGGCAGCATGGTCAAGGGGACAAGAGCTAGATTTTAAGATCACATATCTTCAGTTTCCAACGGCATCACTTACCAGTCACATGACTTTTGACAAGTTCTTAACCTTTTTTTTTTTTTTTTTTATTTTCGAGACAGGGTTTCTCTGTAGCTTTTGGAGCCTGTCCTGGAACTAGCTCTTCTAGACCAGGCTGGCCTCGAACTCACAGAGCAGCACTTGCTGCTGCCTCCCGAGTCATGGGATTAAAGGCGTGTGCCACCACCGCCTGTCCTTTATGCTTCCATTTTATCAAACATAAGACCTACCACGATGTGAGCCTTGATGAAAGGTAATGTGATATTGATCAAAATCAGGATATCAAAATTACCTGTTGCCTTCGTACTGCTCTCTGAAACGTTCACATTGCATTTTTCGACTGTTGCTTTCGTCTTGTTCTCTTGAATGCCTTTTCCTACTGGCGTTTTTTTGTAATAACGGTAGATAGAAAACACAGGAAGAAGGTGAAATGTACATTCTACATACAATAGAATGGATATTGTATCTATCACTTCAGGAAACGAAGTCAACCAAACAAGCTTGAGTATGGACAGGAGACAATGTATTAGCGACATGTTAACAGGGGACCACTTTGGAGACAGAGTGAACAGAGAACCAGAAGAGCACAGAACAAATGGGTTCACACTGCTGTTGGTTACACCACATCTAAGTGCTGTAGGGAGCAGGGCCCCTTGTTCTGGCTGCCCGGCTAGCTTCTAAGGGCATTTTGAAGCTCATGCACCTCTCCCACCTCTGAACTTCACCCCTGTGGGGTGAGGATGCTCACACCCGCACCAGCCATAAGGTTGCTGGCTGTCTTCTGGAGTTCGGCAGACACCTTATAAACTCATATGTAGGCATTGTGGTTTTCATTGTTATTGTTATCTTGTCACACTTGTGATCTTTTTTAGAGTTCTAGGTGCACATGCGTCATCCCCATAGTGATTCTCCAAAACAGGAGAAATGCAACAGGGGATATTGTCCTGTAACTGCCCGTCATTGTTCCTCCCCCAGGCTCAGGGTGGCCAGCTCATATGAAGAAGCCAAAATACTAATGGTGGAATTAGAGGAAGATTTTGTTTTGTTTTGTTTTTCAAGGCATGGTTTCTCTGTGTAGCCTTAGCTGTCCTTGCACTCGCTGTGTAGATCAGGCTGGCCTATGAACTCACAAAGCTCTTCCTGCCTCTGACTCCAGAATGCTGGGATTAAAGCCACGTGTCACCACTGTCAGGCTAGAGAGAGAATTTTAAGGTAAAAGCTTTTGTCTCACTTACCTAAGACACTGAGTCCAATCACAGTCAGGACAAGAAGGATCAACCCAACACAGCTGAGTTTCAGAGCCAACCGATGCCAGCGTGGGCACTGGCAGCTGTCTGAGAAGTTAAAGAAAACACACTTTTAATCTAGTTGAGAGCGTTTGCAAACAATGAGGTAGTTTGATTAACATGGACAATTGGATTCATGTTGAGGGTGGGGTGAAGAAAAGAGCCTTTCTTAGCCTCCTTACTACGAATTCCACAATTGGGTCAAATGGGTGTTAGGAAGGTAAAACGACTGATGAAGAAGATGTCTAGAAAATTGCTGAGTGAGTGCTGTACAAAAATAATGTATGTGTTCTGCTATGGGAATGAGCCAGCAATTCCTCCAAGAAGGATTATCTTTGTTAATAGGAGGTACATACACACACACACACACACACACACACACCTCAGTTTTGTGCTAAGTACCACCTTTGGTCCTGGTGATGTATAGCAATTCTATTTTTTAACATGGGGCCTGCTTCACTGTTGTCTGTAATGATCTTCTCCATCTTGAAATAAAGTTTAGGCACCTCTGCGGTTTGTTTGTTCTGGACAGAGTTTCAATATGCTGCCCTGGCTGGTCTGGAACTCTAAGCAGACCCCAGTGGCTTTGACTACCGTGTTGTTTTCAGGATTTTAACTACATTATTCTCCCTTTATCTGCACAGATCGAGATCTCCATCTCTTAATGGAGAGCTGAGCTGTGGTTAGAAGCCATCTCTATGAATATTGCTTCACACACGCAAACACAAGGGAGTTTTCTGTCTTAACAGAGTACGTGCATAAGTGTGGCTGTGCCTTTCACAGCTGGCTATGTACTAGCAAAATCCGTTTTTATATTTCTCCTTTTCCCTTTCCTTAAATGGAGTGTTTCAACCTTTTCATGTAGAGGAAGCAAGTGTGGCTTCCCTTTGACGCAGGAGTGTTGCCAGCGTTTAGACAGTTCACAACTTGAAGCCACTATTCAGTAAAATGAGAGGTTTTTGAGCACAAGCCTGGGTGACTGGCAGGCTGTATTAGTCAGGGTTATCTAGGGTCACAGAATTTACAGAATGAATCTCTCTCTATCTCTCTCTCTCTCCATATATATATATATGAATTCACTGGGAGGACTTTCAGGCTGCAGCCCAACAATGGTGGCTATGAATGGAGAGCTCGACTCTAGTAGCTGCTGAGTCCTGCAAGGCTGGTGTCTCAGCTGCTCTGCTGGGATCTCGAAGAAGGAGATGAATGTGCTTATGGGGGTGAGGGCAAGCGGGTTAAACAACCCTTCCCCCACCCTTCCTTCTACCATTGTCCTTCTACCGGCTTCCAACAGAAGGTGTGGCCCAGATTAAAGATATGCCTTCTAGTCTCCAGGTCTGATTTAAATGCATGTTTCATTCAGCCTTAAAGGTCAGATGTCTTCCTGCCCTAACATCTGGATCGCAAATGTGCTCTCATTTCTGGATTAATTACATTCCAGGCATAAGTTGACAACCAAGAAGATCAGTGAGGAAGGTGGTGAGGAGTGACTCATGCCTTGACCAAGATGGTGGGAGAGCTCACTGTGCTGTTCACAACAATGTTCAGCTCAAGACACAGAGTTACTTCTTCCTGGATTTTTCTATTTAACCATTGGATTAATATTTATCAACTTGTTGACTACAAATTATGAAAGTGCACCAGATTGAAATGGTTGATTAAGGGGGTTCTTTGCTATAACACATGCATCTACAATACTGCCTTGGTGAAATACCAGGTCCTGTATCTGTGCTTTTCTTGGTGACCATAGCAGTTACTACACAATAAATATCTTATGTATATCAGGAGTTCAAATACATTAAGTAATAAATGTGTTCATAAAGTATCATGATTTGGACAGTTTATTTTGTGTTGAAATAGGAGCAGCGGGGCTGCGTCCCTGGCACCTAGCCGCCCACATGGCTAGCTTATGCCCCTAAATAATTACACGGAAACTGTATTCTTTTAAACACTGCCTGGCCCATTAGTTCCAGCCTCTTATTGGCTAGCTCTTACATATCGATCTAACCCATTTCTAATATCCCTGTAACACCACGAGGTGTCTTAACAGGGAAGATCTTAACCTGCGTCTGTATCCGGTAGGAGAATCATGGCAACTCCTTGACTCAGCTTCTTTCTCCCAACATTCTGTTCTGTTTGCTCTGCCTACCTAATTGTATGTCCTATTAAATGGCCAAGGCAGTCTCTTTATTTAACCAATGAAATTAACACAAAACAGAAGACTCTCCCCCATCAATTTTGACTTATATCTTTCTAAATATTAATGTAATTGTAATATAAATGTTAATGTAAATGAATACATGTTTTGACTTCATGTTAAATTTTTAAAATCAGATGTGCTGCTATTTATTATATTGTCTATTATTATTCATTGTATTTTCCAGAATTGTTTGTATATCCAATTCTACCTCTTCTAGATACATTTTATTTTATTTTTTTTACATTATCCCAAATGAACAGTTTAACTCAGACTGAAGGCAAGGACCAACTGTCTCTAGTCTCTAGACCAGCATTGAGACAGGACAGTCACTTAGATGAGTTAGTTTATTTGCAAATTTTCCACTGGAGAAAGAATAAAAGGAAGGGATGGAGAGGGAAAGAAGAACAAATGTGTTCCAGAAGAGACACAGACAGTCTAACATGTGTGTGGAGTAGTATCTGTAGACCCAACTAGCTACAGATGGCAGATTGTCACACACAGAAGGCTGCTTCTGTGTGGAATGCACACTTCCTTTCTCCATCTTTAGTCTATAACAAATACTCCACAGAAGCCATTCCCATGGCTCTGAAAGCATCCTCGGTGCCGTCAGTATCTACAGATTACCTGAAGCACGCAGCAATATGCAAACAGGTTACTTATAGGACGACATTTTGTGTAAGAGACCAGCATGCATGCAGAGGTCTGCAAGCAACCTGCTGTGGACAGTGAGCAGGGCAGTATGGAGAGAGGTGACGGAACTGTCATGGAAGGAAGCAGTGTGTTAGGCTTGAGGATATGGCCAGTGGCTGACCACAGCTGCTGGGTAGGTCGTGAGTGTCCTGGACAGGAGGCAGGACTGTAGGCAACCATTATTCTAAATTCCTGAGCATAGCATCAGGCCTGTGGTAACTGGCAATAAATATTGTTTTCTTCTTTTTTTCTTTCCTACCTTTCTTCTATCCTTCCTTCCTTTCTTCCTTTTTTCCATAAAGTAAGGTTTTTTTATTTGTTTTTGTTTTAATTATAGGTAAAAAGCCACTTAGGTGACTTTAAAAAAATCTTTATCCATTCATGACAAAAGTTAAAGCGCTCCTGTCCTCTCTGTTCTACTATTGGAGTTACATACAGAAGAGGCTTTGTAAACACTGGCTCTGTGACAGTACCTGCTTTGGTACCCACAGAAAGCTAAGTCATCTCCACTGTTCCAGGCATTCAATGGCTTTCCCCTCAACATCTGAACCTATGGAATGTCTTCCAAATCCCTCCACTGGTCACCATTCCTCCTGGTTTGATCTCCACAGCACACCAGGCATGCATGTTTCCCACATCAAAGGCCTGTTCTCCCTCTGCATTTGCAGGTGCAGCTGCCTAGAAGGCTCCTCTCTCAGATACTCAGCCTTAGTCTCCAGAGACTTCCAGGACTTGAGGCCAGCGTCATCTCTCAGAAAGGCCTGCCTTGATCACTCTGCTTGACAGGATGCCATCTCTAATGGCAAAAATCTTAATGTCCATTTAAATGCTTTCTCGCTGTCTTTCAAAATCACACTGTTTCTGACATAGGTGTTTATGTCACTGATTTAAACCTTCACAGTAATATAAAATCTACAGGGAGAAAGACGCTTTCCTGTTTCTTCATGGCTGTTTCCCCAGTGTCTAGAGCAATGTTTGTCTCATAGTAATTGGTTATTTCTGAGTAAATAAATAAAACCCAGAGGCATTTTTTACTTATTACAATTACATTTTTACATGACCATCGAACCATCAGAAGAAACCTTTGGCCATTTGACCACAAACAAAATAGGTCACTACTCACGTCCCTCTTTCCGGTTCTCTTTGCTGGCAGATCTAATCACCGTGCTTCGAATTTACCATGGTGTGAGACCTTTAGCTAAATAGGTCCCAGTGGTTTCACATTTACGCTTCTGCATCAACATTTTCTATTCGAAAGCTAGGTTCTGTTTCTATTCTACTACTGTTTGTTTTGTGTTTTTCTTCAGTTTTATTCCTAGATTATTGAAGTTTAAAGTAATGATTTTTCCCCTAGTCCTTTCTTTTCTAGATAACTTTTTTTCTAGTCTTTTTGACTTGGGTTCTTAGACAGTAGAGATTAAGAAGAACCTCCTTATCTTTCTCTATATTCATTTTCTTACACTCTTCCTACACTTTTGCTAGACATGATGGGAAAACCAAGACTTGCATTTTCTCAACAACAAAATTACTGGTGCTATGAATTCTCCCTACACTTATCAAAACAGCAATTCCCTCCACTTTCTGTTCACCCTATGTAAACATTATAATGAAGCTTATTTGGTGACTCGAAGACTTTCTTCTTGACTCAGACCACTGGCAATGTACACAATTCTAACAAGAAGCTCTGGAGTTGGAAGTCCATGTGTCATAACACATAGAATCATCAGATTGGAAAGCATCTGCTTTAAGACGGATGTCAGTGGGTCAGTTAGCCAGCAGAACGGAATCGTGTGTCATGATCATTTTATAGACTTTCTGCCTGAGCTCCTGGCCTCTTACATCTCAGCCATCCTCTGGCCGTGTGCTTCATCTGAACAACCTTCCATGTTTCTTTACCTCATATCACTAAATCCTCTGGTAGACAAGAGTGCTACTTTCAGTCAGTGTTGAAGTTCCTGACTATCTTTGGTACCTTGTGTGGTACATCCATTTAAAACCGTTATACTTTGCAAGATAGAAACAGCCAGCTTTTCAAAAAATTAAATAAAATTATACACACACACACACACACACACCACCAGCAGCTGCACCAGCAGCTTTTGATTTAATTCAAATCTTTGATTTTGACTGTGACTTTTCCCCAAGATTACCCTCCTTTCTGGGAGACAAAGTCATTAGCCATTAAATCTACACTCTGCACTGTGTAGGGACTCTGAGGTTGCAGTGAAGTACACCTAGGCCACAGTGTCCACATTCTGTAGGTGAACTCGGAACTGGCAATTGATTGCATCAACAGCTCTTGAAACACGACTTTGCTCATATAAGTAAAATATTCTTTCTTCAGGATTTTCAACAAAGTCTGAATAGGGAAAGTGATGCTCAGGTTTCCTGCTGCCTAATCGAGTAAAAATGGAATGCATGACCTTCCCAGAACTGTGGTTTTCTGCAGGCATACTGCCACAGTATTTAACACTAACATAGACACAGACCTGCTTCTCACCTTCAAAGCAGTGACTTAAACCCACACATTTCAGAGGAAAATTTAACTCTGGAATATAATTCAAATGTCAGAGAAGAAAAGCTGCTTACCTGGGGGAGGAGTTGGAGGGGATGCCTGCTTAGGCTCTTGGGTCCTGGCTAGGTTTAAGTCAGCGTAGACCACTGATGTATCCATTGTAGGTGGAGGGACTTGACAGTGAACTTGTGGTCAGGAACAGACTCCAAGGTCTGTGAGTTGAAATAAGCGAAAAAGGAAGTCCGCTGTGCACTCTCTGCTGTGTGGGTCCACACCCACCCACACTGGTAGCTGAGGGTTTCTCCATAGTTACTGACCATGGTGCCTGTCTTTCTCACAGAGCTTACTTTCTTTTTTTTAAAGAAAGAATTGCAACATACAGGGCACAGAGTTTGGTTTTTAAACACATTTCTGGGATGGTCTCTTTTGTTCTTGTCCCTCTGTCGGTTATAAGTTATCCCCTCAGAACTCTGATGAAATATTCATCTTGAATTCAAATTTACCTTGCTGCTGAACTCCCAGGGTTCAGATGTAAGCCATTTTCTGCTGTGTCATGAACCTGAAGGTTATACGTGAAAGCCTATGGTGCTATTTGGCACCGGTTGAAGCTCTGAAATCCTCTCGAAATATCCACACTGTGAAATGAGCTGTGGAGTGTGGAGCTGCAGACGGGAATGTGGGAAACCTCATGACTGACTCAATGGGAAGAGCAGTGATAGGAGCAGCATGTGTCACTCAGAGCCGTCCTGAGTGACGGACTTCATCCGTCAGAGAGACAGGGAGTGGAGGACACAGGTCTATGTGATGTGTTAACTCCTCCAAGGATTTCTAGACCCAGAGCCTTAGAGCAAGGACCACACCTAATCAGACAGTCTCATATCACAAGTGAAAAAGAAGAAGAAAAGCGAGGATTTCCTTAAAGTCACTTTCTGTTTTGGAGTGTAATTGTGCAGGTGCACACAGTTACATGACCGTGGTAGCAGTCTGCAGGCTGTGCGTTCCAGGAATCAGGTGGACACTCACGGCGTGGAGAGCACATTCATTTCCCAAGGCCATTGATGATTACAAAGTGAGGTGAAGCCCGTGTGCGGGTCTCATAGCGCACATCGTGACTCAGTGGAACCTCCTCAGCTGTCACTCTTTGTTGACAGTCATTTCACCCAACGCCAGGCATGGAGTTTTGTCTCATTCTCCATCAAAACCTAAGATTCAGCAAGTGTGCAAGACTGTCCAGAGCTGTGCATCTTGTGTGATTCTATTTATTTCTTTCGCTCAGATTACTATAATCTCTGGTAGACAAGGGTGCTAATTTCAACCAGTGTTGAACTTTAGTATAGATTAATGTCATATACATCAGGTCCTCAGGCTTTTGTTTAAATAAGAATTATTTAAAAGTTCATTAATAATTCATTTTCTACCCTACAATCCCACTCCCTTTCCAGGATATCCTAGCCTTCAGGGATTAAATGTGTGAAGAACATTCCGAATATTTGAGCTGGGTCATGGGCAATGGTTAAGCAAACAACACTGTGGTCAGTGACTATGGGGATATATTAGACCAGCAGAGTAAAGAGTAGTCTGATTCTGTGTTTAGATGAAGAATTAAGCTTTGAAAAGATAGTGAAGGATATTGAAGGCTTTTTTTTGTCTTACTCTATTATTTTGTGTGTTGGTGTTCTGTGGTTGTGAGCTGCCTTGTAAGATGGGAACTGAATGCGATCCTCTGGGAGGACAGCCAGTGCTCTTGACTACTGAGCCATCTCTTCAGGACCAACACTGAAATTTAACATTTCTGAAGCCTGGTTCCTATGTCTCTACAATGACCTTATTAAATGCAAGGGATTTGAAGGGGAGGTATTTTCATTAGCAGGTGCATCCAAAAGTCTCTAAGCCACAAAGAGTAAAGAAACTAAAAATAACAACCAAACACATCGCCATGGGTCTGTGTGCTCCACGCAGCTGATAGCTCACTTTTCCTGTGATGGAGTGACAGGAGCCATGACAATGACCACACAGTTACCAATACAAAGAGAGTTTTGTTATGTAGCCATCATTGTACAGATAAAAATAAAACCCTCCTGAGAGTTCACATCTGGGGAAAGCATCTGCCTACTGAAGACATCTGATCACCTAATTGGCCAAACGATTGTTTCACTGCAAAATGTCAGATTGCAGGATGACATTGATCTTGTTACGCTAAAATAGAAGGAGGGTAAGCGGATGTGTATTTGTGTGTGCGAGAGAGTACAATGTGATATTAATCATTCATGATGTGATGACAGCTAAAGAATTTAAATGGTGAATGGATGTAAGAGATCCTGGGCTTTATTTATTTTTATTTATCCATGTATGTGGTTATGCATGTGTGTGAATACAGTGTATGTTTGTGTGGTTTATGTGTGGGTATGTTTGAGTGTGTACAAGCCGTGTGCATGTCCAGTGGCTAGAGGGGACTGTGGGATATTCTTTCCTCCTTGTTCCTTTGAGGCAGGGCTTCCTCTGGACCTTGCATTGATTTTCTTTGTTTTTCCAGACAGTCTGGAAAACATTATTTGCAGAGCTATCTCTACAAATCCTGACACCGAGTTTCAAAGTGGCTGTAGTTAAAGTCTTATTAAAAATGTCAAGGATTAAGAAAGACAAGCATCCCAGTGGTAGCCTGCTTTGATATCGACCACTCTTACTTTCATAGCGGAAGTTATAATGTACAGAAAAATAGAGTGAAAGTCCAACATTACCCTTGAACGTGAAGAAATGAAGAGGCTGTACAAAAAACTGTGATAAAAGGAGAGGCTAGACCCCGCAACTGACAAAGGTCTGATCTCTAATATATATAAAGAACTCAAGAAACTAGACTGTAAAATGCTAATCAACTCAATTATAAATTGGGGCACTGAGCTGAACAGAGAATTCTCAACAGAAGAAGTTCAAATAGCCAAAAGACACTTAAGGTCATGCTCAACTTCCTTAGTGATCAGGGAAATGCAAATCAAGACAACTTTAAGATACCATCTTACACCTGTCAGAATGGCTAAAATAAAAAACACCAATGATAGCCTTTGCTGGAGAGGTTGTGGAGAAAGGGGTACACTCATCCATTGCTGGTGGGAATGCAAACTTGTGCAACCACTTTGGAAAGCAGTGTGGTGGTTTCTCAGGAAATTCGGGATCAACCTACCCTGGACCCAGCAATACCACTCTTGGGAATATACCCAAGAGAGGCCCTATCATACAACAAAAGTATATGCTCAACTATGTTCATAGCAGCATTGTTTGTAATAGCTAGAACCTGGAAACAACCTAGATGTCCTTCAATGGAAGAATGGATGAAGAAAGTATGGAATGTATACATATTAGAGTACTACTCAGCAGTAAAAAACAAGGACTTCTTGAATTTTGCATGTAAATGGGCGGAAATAGAAAACACTATCCTGAGTGAGGTAACCCAGACCCAAAAAGATGAACATGGGATGTACTCACTCATAATTGGTTTCTAGCCATAAATAAAGGACATTGAGCCTATAATTAGTGATCCTAGAGAAGCTAAATAAGAAGGTGAACCCAAAGAAACACATATAGGCATCCTCCTGGATATTAACCTTCATCAGGCGATGAAAGGAGACAGAAACAGAGACCCACACTGGAGCACCGGACAGAAATCTCAAGGTCCAAATCAGGAGCAGAAGGAGAGGGAGCATGAGCAAGGAACTCAGGACTGCGAGGGGTGCACCCACACACTGAGACAATGGTGATGTTCTATTGGGAACTCACCAAGACCAGCTGGCCTGGGTCTGAAAAAGCATGGAATAAAACCAGACTCGCTGAACATAGCAGACAATGAGGACTACTGAGAACTCAAGAACAATGGCACTGGGTTTTGACCCTACTGCACATACTGGCTTTGTGGGAGCCTAGGCAGTTTGGATGCTCACCTTACTAGACCTGGATGGAGGTGGGTGGTCCTTGGACTTCCCACAGGGCAGGGAACCCTGATTGCTCTATGGGCTGATGAAGGAGGAGGACTTGATTAGGGGAGGGGGAGGGAAATGGGAGGCGGTGGCAGGGAGGAGGCAGAAATCTTAAATAAATAAATAAATAAATAAATAAATAAATAAATAAATAAATAAAAAGGAGAAGCTAGACAGAATGTTCAGTGGTTAAGAGCACTGGCTGCTCTTCCAGAGGTCACAGGTTTGATACCCTGCATCCACCAAGCAGCTCAAAACTGTAACTCCAGTCCAAAGTGTCCTGATACCTTCCTCTAGCTTCTCTGGCCACCAAGTGCTCACATGCTGCACAGATGTACATACAGACAAAACATCCACATATGTAAAATTAAATAAAAATAATTTAACAATTTTTTAAATTAATTTTACATTCCAACCAGTGCTCTCCTTCCCACTCCTCCTCCTGCCCCCTTCGCCTTTTCCTCACAGCCATAGGAGACTTTCCTCCTATGGGAAGTCAATAAAGCCTAACACATCAAGTTGAGACAAGACCAAGCTCCTCCACCCTGCCTCAAGGCTGAACAAGGCATCCAACCATAGGGAATGGAGACCAAAAACCTAGCTCATGCACCAGGGATAGATTCTGGTCCCACTACCGGGGGCCCCTTAGATAGACCACGCTAAACAATTGTCTTCCACATGAAGAGTGCCTGGTTCAGTTCCATACAGGCTCCACAGCTGTCAGTCTAGAGTTCGTGAGCTCCCACGAGCTTGGTTCAGATGTCTCTGTAATTATAAAAAAGGCTAGGAAAGGTGAGTGATATTTCAAATGTCAAAATCACGGAAAAATTTACACAGATACAAAAACAAACAAAACAAAAAGAGGGATACACGGCCAAGTCAGAGAAAGGAAGGGATACTTTATAGATTAAAGCATCGCAAATGTATGAGCTTCTTCAGCGAGAGTTTTCAGAATTATCCTAAAGATGCTTGGTCAGCTACTAGGAACTAATGAGCTGATGGATGCCCCAGATGAGCAGGTAGAGGGACACAGGAAGGCGACACACAAGCAAAATCATCTGCCAACAAGGACGTGAAATATGTGCATAGAACCTCACAGATTTGGGGAATGAAAAACCACAACAGTGGAAATGAAACGTTCACTGGGGTCAAGGGAACTTGGTATTTTTCAAAACTGTAAGCAAAACAAAT